TCCTGTTAAGCCTGCCGGTGTATCTGGAGTGCAGTGGGTGTGGGGGAATGTGGCTGTCCTCACAGGGGTGGTGTCCTGGGAGGATGGGGCAAGGTTCTGGTTTCTCCCAGAGCTGGTGTTCAAGGACAGGGAGCAGGAGGCCACGGAGCAGTTGTGTCTAGAGGGCAGGATGTACCCCAGCCTGGAAACCATATCTGGGATGGACGGAGGCTGAGTTGAGGGCCTTGTGGCAGAAGCCAACTGCACCACCCAGCTCTAGAGAATGTTGTCCGCGTCTGTCCAGTCCCCGACCCCGTGATCAGGGCCCAGTGCAGAGTGCCCAGGAGCAGCTCAGACCTGCAGACTGGCAGGGCATCTGCAGTCCCAGCTGCATCCAGGCCACCCCCATGCAGGCCTCATATGGCCATCTCCGACCTGCCAGTGAGGAGAAGGCAGTGACCCAGAGAGGTGGCCACCTTCAGGGAGGTAAGTCACGCAACAAGGACGGCATGGGGCCTCAAAGAACATCCACTGTCCCCTTTCCTCATAGGAAAGTATTTGTGCACAACCTGGGGATAGACAGTGCCCAGTGTCCACTAAAGATGCCCAAAGACCCTGCTCACTCCCTCCTGGCCCCAGGCCCTGGGCACCTTTGTAGCACCTCGGTTCAAGCCATGCATGGGACAATCGTGCAGGGGAACCAACATTCTGCCCTCTTGGGTTGCTGGGTCCACGTGTTTTCATTCATTATGGAATTGTCCCTGTCCCTTCTGACCTCTGAGAGGCCCATTCATCCATTGGGTTGCTCCAGCTCTGTCCCCAGAACAGTACACGTCCCTGTTTGTTGGGAACCAGCCATCATCTGGACAGGTGTCAGTGGACAGCCAGCAGCAGCCACATATGTGTACTGCAGCCTCAGCCCCTACCTGCTCAGTGGTGCCTGTCAGGTGGGGCAGATAAGCTGCCCACTTCCAGCCTGCCCTGCTGACACGTGGGAGATGAGTGCTGCCAACCATGAAGTGCCTTCCATGCAGACACATGGCCCCAGCCTCTCATCTTTTGAAACTAATTTGCAAAATGCCCACTAAATGCTTGAGCACTGTCAACTGCCTGTGAATGCAAGGAGGGACCAGGAGAGGGACCCTCCCTGGCATGCAGTTGGTGCTCAGTAAGTACTGGCCTGGCAATGGCATGAGAAACTTCAGTGCCTCCAAAATACTGGAACTGCTCCTGCACTACAGAACACTTGAGGCTGGGTGATCTGTAATCCACAGAAATTCTGCTGGGTTTCATTGGTTCAGTGGTCCCAGGGACTCAGGAGGCTGAGGCAGAATGGCAAGTTCAAGCCCAGCCTGGGCACCTTAGTAAGACCCTGTCTCAAAACAAAGTATAAAATGGACTAGGGCATGGCCCAGTGGTAGAGCACCCTGGGCCAAAAAACAAACACCCTCTTGCTGTGCTGGGCCAAGGGGGGAAAGGCTAGACACTGGGTCAGCCCAGGACCAGGCCATGTGGACAGAACACCGCACCCAGAACAGGCCACCACGTGGTCGGCAACCTACTGGGGTCTCTGGGACAGCAGTGAAGGTGAAGTGCTTGGTTTACAACAGATGGGCCCCTGGTCCTTGCCTCCAAGGGAAAGGGTCTGTGCCCATGTCTGCATTTCTACAGGGCTCACGTGGCTTCTGGAATCTAAAATGATAAATAAAACTGGAGCTAACACTTGGTTTGGGAAAGCAGTTGTTCTACAGAAGAGAGTCTAGGTTTTGTCCCCTTGCTAGGGAGCTCCCAGGTGGTGGAAGATGCTAGAGGTGGCAGGGTGGGGGGCCTACTCCTGCTGTCTCCAGGGCCTTTCCTGCCTGGCAGAAGCACCAGAGCCACAGACCATGACAGCCTCATGGGAAACACAAGGTCAAAGGCCCTCAAGCCAAGCTACTGTGGCCAGACCCAGGGGTGACTGGGGGCTGTGGGCGAGGCAGGAGTACCCCAGGCTTCCCAGCACCCCATCTTACACATGTGAGAGGCCGAGGCTCTTGTCATCCGTATCCCCTGGCTCCCTATGGCCCTGACTCCCTCCTCAGCACAGAGCCCCATCTGCAGAGGACAGGGCTGGGTGGGGGCAGGATGACAGGCTCTGCAGTCAGGGGCCCCGGCCTCGCCACCTACCCCAGCAGCCAAACAAGCCCTGGATGCGCCATGGTGTCCTGCAGCTCTGGGATGCCAGGGACCATGTCACAGGCACAGGCCAACCCATGCCTCGAGGACCTGCCTCAGCCACCCTGCTATTGGAGCCACTGCACACCACTCTTCTGGCTCCCAGGAGCCCTGAGGGACTAGGGCTGGGGCTGCTGCTCAGCACACGCTGCCGTGGTGCCCAGGGCCAGCCCCACTCCCTTGATTTCTCCTGCCTGGCTCCTGGAGAGGGGTCCAGTGACCTGCCAGGGCCCACCCACTACAGCCCCTCTACCCCAAGCCCTGCACCATCACAGGGGTCCCAGCAGAGCCAGGCTGCCCCTCCCCTCCAGCAAAGTCAGGCTTCACATGGAGCTGGAGCGGGTGTGGGTAGTGCTGCTGGGTCCAGCTGGCCTGCAGCTGCGATTCCTTGCCTTGATCAAAACCCCTTCCCTGCAGCCTGGATGCCACAGTGGTTCCCAAGGGAACCCATGGAGTAGTCCTAGGGTCCCCACCCACCACTTAAGTGTGCTAGCCAGGTACTGCAGATGTGAGGATGGCCCTTGGTCCCAGTCTCAGAGGAAGGAGCCTCTTACTCAGGGGTGGCAGGGTTCCTGTCCAGGTTCCTTCAGCATAGGGGCATCAGAGCAGCCCTTGTGACCTCACCCCTACTCAATGCTTTACAAGGCCCTGCTCAAGGGACATCACACCCTGAGGTCCTGTGCTGATGTGCCTCTGGGGACACGCTCCAACACTGGGCTGGTTTGGGCATGCTGACCTGAGTGCTTCTGACTCTTGTCCTGTTGGGCCAGACTCACAGCCCAGCAGGGAGTCCTCCAGACACGGTGGCATGACCTTGTCCCTGAGGGAAATGGCTGCAACACCAGTGAGGCATCACCTCCCCAGGGCATGGGGCAGATGGCCCAGCCCTTGTTGAACCCTGGGGCACAGCAGCAGAGGCTGTCCCAAGTGGTCAGCCAGCTCAGGTTGGCACAGTGCCCCCCTTCTGCAGGGGCAGACTGAGTCAGAAGATAAGGAACAAGGGGTTCCCTGTGGCTCCACCCAGATGCTGCTGACAGGCAGGGTCTAATGGGTACAGGACCAGGGAAGTCTATGCACAGGGTGGACCTGTAGACACCCAGGAGGCTATGATTTATAAAGTTCAGTTCTAACTGATCTCACTGGTATCTCAGCCAGTGTGCTGAGGACCCAGGAGCTGTCTCAGGAGGGCTCAGAGTGCTAGCTCTCTGGCTGCAAGGCTGCTGAGGCCCATGTAGCCAGTCCCACAAACAAGCCCCCAGGGCAAGGGGGCAACCCATCCATGAGTGGAGGACAGTTCTGACCAGGTGGTGCAGAGTACCCAAAGGTGCTCAGCACCCATGCTGTGACAGAGCAGGGTGTTCATGTCTAGAACAGGCCTGGATAATGGGGCAATAGAGGGATGGGGCTACAGCAGGTGCAGCTGGTGTCAAGGCCGAGGGCAGAACTGCAAAGTGAAGTGTGGTTCAGAGTGATAGGTCACATAGGGGGAGGGCCACCTCCATCTCACAGGTGCTTCCTGAAGTCCCTGCAGGACCCTCAGAGCCCTTGGACCAGTCTTGCCCACAAAGCAGCTCCCTAGAGAACCGCAACCATGGGAAGTTGTGTGGGAAGCTCCTGTGCCCTTGGGGCTGTGCTGGGGGCCTGGGCAGCCGGGAAGGAAGAAGGCCCAGCCCAGGGGTTTCACCCTCCCACAGTGGCCAGTCCCTGCCAGAGCCCACACCTCAGCCTTGCTGCTCCTCCTGTCTTTCACAACTAGATTTCTCTTTTGCTCAAGTAAGCTAGGCAAGAGCTCTATAGATGCTGGTTGCCTGCAATCCCAGGGGCTTGGGAGTCTGAGGCAAGAGGATCATGAGTTCAAAGCCAGTCTGAGCAATTTAGTGAGGCCCTGTCTCAAAACAAAATATAAAAGAGGGCTGTGGATGTGGCTCAATGGTGAAGCATTCCTGGGCTCAACTCCCAATATAAAACAAAACAAACACTTTGCCACTGACCTACAGCTCAGCCCTTTTTATTTTTTGAGACAGGGTCTTGTTAAATTGCTTAGGGCCTTGGTAAGTTGCTGAGGTTTGTCTTGAACTTGGATCCTCCTGCCTCAGCCTCCTGAGCTACAGAGGATCATAGGCGTGTGCCACTGCACCTGTCAAGAAAATTGGATCTTCAAGAGAAAACCTGAGGCTGCTGTCCTCAATGGACAACTAGACTCCTCTGGTGTAAGTGGGTCCTGGTACGTGAGAATGCTGACTTCCAGCCACCTGGAGGAACAGGCTAGCCTCGGATGGGGAGTGGTGTGCAGACATATGCCCCTGGGACTCTGCTGTGTCCCTGCAATGCCAGTGGCTCCCAGGAAAAAAGCATCCTCTGACCTGCATACAGTGGCCATGCCTATGATCCCAGCAACTTGGGAGGCTGAGAGAGGAGGATGGCAAGTTCAAGGCCAGCTGGTCAACTTAGTGGAACCCTGACTTAAAATAAAAATTTAAAAAAGGCTGGGAATGTGGCTCAGTGAGAGTGAACCCCTGGATTCAATCCTCAGGACCAAAAAAACCCAAAGACAACAGAACACCCCAGCATCCTCTGAGCGCGAAGAGGAACACTGACCGCAGATATGTACACATGATCCTCCAGTCATGACTCACCAGGCCACAAAGAAACTGCTGGCCCTGCCTGGTCTTATGCAGTGGGAGGCACAGGCACCTGCCCCCTGTGGGGTGTACACAGCTCACCCATACTATCAGCTGCCTGGAGGCCCCTCGGCACCCCCACCAGGCTGCCCCCTCCCACCTGGCAGGGCCCACTCTGCCTAGATATTCTCTCCTACAAAATTATTTATTAGCATGGGAGCAGATGGCAGCCAGAGTCAGCTAAGTGTGAAGAACTGGGCACAGAGGTCGTCCCGCCGGCCCAGTAGGCCTTGAGCTGGGATGAATTCCAGGGGCACTGGCTCGGGCCCCTTCCTCTTGAGGTCCTGCTCAAAGACCTGTAAGGACAGAAAGTAGGCCTAGGCTCATGCTCGGTGGTCCCTGGGCCCCCCACTCCTACTCTGGCTTCGTCAGGTCCTGCTCAAAGCCCTGTAAGAACAGAAACCAGCGCAGGGCTCGTGCTTGGGGGTCCCACAACCCTCCTCACCTCATAGGCAGAGAGCTCCAGGAGGGGCGCAATGCTGACTTCTGTGACAGACAGCACCTGATTGATGACGCTGGCGGCTCTGGACACCTCAGGGTGGTAGTGCTGCTGGAGACTCTAGGAAGGGCACGTGGCTATCACTGACACCACAGCTTCAGCAACCCCTGCCACGCACCCCACATGTGTGCTCCCCATCCAGGACCTTTGTGGGGCCAGCCCCACATGGGTAGGAGTGTTGAGTGCTCAGGCCTGCAGAGTCCTGAGCAAGGGAGGACCCAAGACTGTCACAGTGCAGCTCTCATCAGGGACAGAGCAGTAGCCTGAGGGAACAGGCTCCCCATGCAATGGGGCACAAGGCCACACAGTGTCCTACAAGGCCCAGGCACCCACCTGCAGCTCCCAGAGGCAGCTCTCCAGGGCTCGGCTCTTGGCCGGGTCCTCCTCCTCAGGGTCATAGGGATCACTGTCCATCTCTAGGAATGAGATCCAGGATTTGAGGCTGTCTGGGCTCTCTGGGGCAGTGGGCACGGGAAAGGATCCTCCCCGACATCCCCAAGGCCGCCCTAACCTAACTCACCAGGGCATTGCGGGCGGTGCACCAGCACATGGCAGGCAGGGTGCCTGCGCAGCAGGTTGCAGATGAAGGGCAGGACCATGAGCAGGGCCTCCGGGGGTGCCGTCAGGGCAAGGCGGGCTAGGCGCTTGGCAAAGGCAGCCACCAGGTATGCAGGGAGATGGCTGGGCGGAGAGTGGGGCATGAGCCACTAGGGCCAGCCACCTGCCCCTCCCTGCCCCAGGCGGTAGCACCAGAGCTACGTAGGGCCAGGCTGCTCTGAGGCCAGGCCAGTGCTTCTGGACACTCACGAGGACGACAGGAAGAGGTCAGCCAAGTGGAAGAAGCGGGCTCGGTACTTGACATGGAAGACAGACGGGTCTAGGAGGCCGTAGAGCTTCCGGTAGAAGTCGGGGTATTCCCTGGGGGACACAGGGCCACACAGGAGTGAGCTAGATCCCCAGGGAATCATGGTTTCAGCCCCTCCATCCATGAGCATCCCTGGGCAGGCACCTCCCTCCACTATCCTGACCCTCAAGGAGAGACATGTCAACAAGGAGGTACATCAAGCCTGAAAGCAAGGGGAAGGTCTAATCCCCCAGACTGCTACTTACAAATTGTGCTTGTGAATCAGGATAAAAAGTCCATTCAAGGCCAAAAGGCTGATGGCACCTCCTGCAAAAGACAGAGAGGTGAACCTCTCACCCATTTAGGGGGTGCTGCTCCCACGCAGCTGCCCACCCCCACTGTCCTGGCTTGCAGCAGGAACCCAGCAGCTGCACAGCTAGAGGCTACCCAACTGCTGGCCATTGCCTGAGGCCACATGAAAGGATGAGCCAGGAGTGACTGGACTTTCATGACCAGCACACCCCAAATTCAGACCCCACTGCTAAGCAGGACCACTCACCCACATCACAGGCACTGGTGAGGAAGTCGATCATGAGGGTGGGCTGGGCCAGGTGGGGGAGGATGGAGTCGTGCATCACCAGGAGCACCTTCTTGTAGAGGCTGAGGGGCAGCTGGGGCAGCAATGCAGGTCAGGTGCGGCCAGCCCACCCCCATCACAATGAGGGCACCCCACCCTACCAGGCCCTACCTTGTGCTTAAGGAAGCTGAGCCACATGGCCTGGAATGCTCTCCTGTGCTCCTGCAACGGGACCAGGCTGCACACGTACCCTGCCCCCTGCCCCCCAGCCTGCAGCCATCCCCTGCCCTCCTGCCTGTAGCCAGCCCTCTGCCCTCTTCCTGCCCCCCAGCCTGTAGCCAGCCCTCTGCCTTCTTGCCTGCACCCCAGGCTGCAGCCAGCCCCCTGCCCTCTTCCCACCCACATTCAGTTGGGAACCTCCCAAATCCTTGAACTTGAGAACCCCAGAATGGGTTTTGTAGCACCAGGGCTCAAATCTGCTGGGGAGAAAATGTCAGCACAAGAAAGATAAGCATGTTCCTCACAGTGTGAAGAAAAGAAAGACTTGAGGGCTAAAGCCAGCCACAAGGTGACAGACGGAGATGGCTCAGGGGACAGTGTGAGGCACACGCATGCACTGCCTATAGCCAGGAAGTACTATCAGGGAAGACCGTCCACACCACCAAAATATCTTACCCTCAAATGAGTGACCTTCCACTTGTCTGACAGCTCTGCAAAAAGGACAAGGCCCAGACCACTCAGCACGCAGGCAAAAGGCCCTGCTCTGCTGGCCCTCCCACCAGGGTCTGTGCCCTGGTGCTCCTGCTGCCTTGGACACTCACCTGCATGCTTCACGTAGAAGTTGGAGAGATCGTGCTCCTGGCGAGGCAGGCTCATGGCGCTGAGCAGAGTAAAAGCATTGTTCCAGAAGATGATGGACGGCTGCAGAGATCTGGCCTGAGCATCAAGTACCACATCCTCCCTGCCCCAACCCCAGGAGGCACTAGGACACAGGCAGATCAGACCCAGCCACTCACCTCAGGCTGCTGGTTGGTGACCTGAGCCACGGCATCTGAGGCAGCCTGCATTGTATGGTAGCGAATGTCATCAAACTCCAGGTACTCCCGGAACTGGGAGAGGAGCAGGCTGTGGTCCTCTGCAGGTGAGACCAGGCCTCTCACCACTGCCTGGGGGAAATGGGCAGGGTGACGCCTCTGCCTCCACCCAGTCCCAGTACCACCAGACAGGATACTTCAGCCTCACCAAGCCCCATGCCACACCAAACTCCTCTCCATAGCCAAGGGACGCTCAGGAGTCTCACTAACCCCACAATGTAGAATGAGGCAGGAATATCACACCTCCCATCCCACAGCCACCTGCTCAGGTAGCCCACTCCTGGGGGCCTCTGGACCCACCAGCTACTCACCCTGAAAAGTGTACGGGGGAACAGGTAATGGCCTTCCCACTTGGGCTGCTCCAGGGGATGTGTTCCTTCCAGCTGTAAAAACTTCATAAGTGTCCCAAGGGCCAGCTCCTGGGAAGCATGGGAGGCAGAGCTTACACCAGCCCCTGAGCCCCTCACAGCCAGGCCTAGGGCTGCCAGGAGGTACGAGGGAAAGGTGACCCCACCTCGTCTTGCTCTGCTCATTGCCAGCCATGGTTCTGGACCTCCACACCCACCCACAAGGCAGGTGATATGACTTCATTAAGATAAGTAGGTACAGAGTTCCTGGCGAGGTCTGGGCAGGGGGGCACACACAGGCCAGGTCCACATCCTGGCATCTGGTAAGGAGGGTGCCATAGTAAACCTCACAACCTAAGCAGAAACTCAAGAGTAAGATGCCAGATGCAGAGCAGGGTCCAGCTCTAAAACCAGAACCACACACTCAGCACCCTTGGGGCCAGACACTATGAAACAGGCACATGTGAGGGGACAGGAACAGCAGAATTGCATCTGGTTAGAAAGCAACCTCACTGAGACAGCCTGGAAAGAGAACTCCACATCCACAGCCCAGGACCCCTGCTTTATGGACGGAGAGCCTAGAAGGCTGGGTCGAGTGCAGGAAACAGAGAAAGCAAACTCCTGAGACAGACCCTCACCTTGACCTGGAAGGCAGGGTGGGCCAAGAGCTCCCCCAGGCGATTGCAGCAGCTGCAATAGCGGTGTCTCATCCACACCTTGTACTTGCGCATGGCTCCCTGGGACCCTGCAGGGAGGGTTAGGGTGTCATACTGCAGCCCTGGCACAGCCCCACCCTCCCATGCCCTCTATCACTACTGGTGAAAACAGTCACTAGGGCCCCCAGACCCAAGCAAGGACAAGCCATTCTCTGGTTTCTGCAAAGGGGGGAAGAAGGTCACCTCTAGCACTGTCCCAACCAGGATCCCAGGGGCACGGCACTATCTCTTCCCCTCACTTGGCCCCAAAACGTGGCTGCCCCAAATATTGTGACACAGCCCCAATTACAACTGATGGCTGGCATCGAACTACACAGCCGGGTATGGACGTCACTCCTTAGCCCTGTCCAGTCAGACCGCCAGGGGCATCTTTCTTCCCGAGCAATCACCAAGAGATTCCTCAAGCTGGCCGGGGGCCTCCTCCGCGAAAAGTGCACGCCCTGTGACAGGCTGGGGGTCTCATCCCACATGACGAAGCCTCCCTCCGATCCATGCTGGAGCCGAGGCCTGGTCGCTCACCTGCCATGACCGTGTCCTCAGAGGGCAGCTGGCCCACGTACAGCTCACCCCGCTCCAGCAAAGCCCCAAAAAGTCGGCTGCACGCGCGGACTGCTTCCTGGACCTCCTCCTGGTCCTCGGACTGCGGGGGAGGTGGGCCGCGCCCGGGTGAGCCGCGCTGCTGGCCCTCGGCCGCCCCGGCCCTCCGCCCGCCCCGGCCCTCCGCCGCCCCGCAGCGCCCGCCACCTGCAGTGCGGCCAGGACGTCAAACACGGCGTTGGCCTCGCCGCGGCTGGACAGCACCGCCTGCACCAGGCGGCCTAGCGCGCGGCGGGGATCGCAGGGCCGCCCGC